CTTGGAATTTCATTATCACACATTCAGGATTAATAAAACACTCGAATGGCTTTACGTAATTCCCGAGTTTAAACAAGGTAAAAAGGCCACATTAACCTCAAATACGTAATATTCTCCTAAATATTTTTCATCAAAATTATCAATAAAATACTTAAGAGCTTTTTCACGAATCTCTTGATCAATAGATGATGATGCGGCTAATTCCAGGATCGTTTTGAGCTTGGGAAATTCACGTAAACCAAGTTCAATTAAGAATTTTCCTATAAATAAATAAATAGATGTATGAATTTCGAGGTTTTTTTTTGTTATAGAATAATTCAATAATAGAAAAAATATACATAAAAGTTCACCTTCTGGTGCATTGTGAGACCACTTTCTTTTCCAATCAATTATAGGTAAACCAAGTTCACGAAAAAGTGCGTTAGGTACATGTAAATCACTAATAACAAAACGTTGAATTTCTGAGTTTGAATCTCTAGTATCTTCATTTCCTTCTTTAAGCCAGATAGGAGTATACTTTAACATTACTTTTTCTTCATCATTGAGATTTTTCGATTCTGAAGCAAGATATTTGACAAGTCTCATATGATCGTAATCATTATTTCCAACAAGGCGTTCAAAGATGAGTCGTAATTCCACAACCTATATTTATTTGAGAGAGTAAGTTTAAATATTATGAATATTATAAAACATCAAATAGCTTTTTTTATTTTTTACCTTTCGAACGCCAAAGAGTTGCATTACATTCTGAACACTTAAAGGCTTTTGAAATTTAATAATCGGTAAGTCGGAGAAAAGGTTAACCATTTGGAAATATGCTTCGTTAGGAAACTTCATTCCAAATTCATTAAGAATACATTTCTTTTGAACAAATAGCTGACCAATCACATTTTTGTCAGACATTTTGGTCTTTTCTAAATTTTTTTCTATGATATTATGAACTCTCTCAGCGAAAGTAGGAGTGGATTCCAAATTTGGATTGTTGACAATAAACTTTGCCCAGATAACCAAAGATTATTCTGATAATCTAAAACATTTGTCAAGATCTTTTCGTTGCAACTTTCTAGAAATGGAATATGGTAAAACTTCAACCGGCAAATCTATATCTGGTGGAATTATTCCCGGATTCAAGTAATGATCAAATGCTTCTAAAGCTTGAGATATATCACCAATACGCATCTTAGCAAATTGCATGAAATCTATTTTCTCTGAAACATTATGATTTCCTTTTGAGCAATAAAAAATCCACCATTTCAAGAGATTAACCATTTCATCCTCACTAAGTATTCGACTTTTTAATTCAAGTAAAACATCTTGAAAAGCCAACCCTCTTATAAGATTCCTTGCTCTTGCTTTATCAAAAAATGTAATACATCGTTCCAAGACAATATTTGGTACAACCGGAACTTGTTTTATGATTCCCGCTATACCTGGATCAGGAATGCGAATACTGGATATCGGAAGGACACCATTTGTTGACAAGATGGACAATTCTTGTTCTGAACAATTAAAAATTGCGATTCTATAGTCTCACTGACGCGTGTTAAAGCATGTGCTGCTCGTTCTTCAAGACATTGACGAGCATGCCCTGTACCTTTATCATCGGATTTAAAGCCACTATAAATTTGTGCTATTTTAAACATTTCATCTTAATATGCAATTCTAAACAATGTTCCTGTTATATGTAACAACTCTTCGTTATATATAGCCAGAGTTTTTTCCACCAAGTCGATCGACTCTCTGTTCACCTATGCAATATTTTAATACATTAATATATCAATAAATAAATAATCAATTTAAATAAGATCAAATATAGGTACGTACGATTGGAATTACAAGTGCTGCAAAGTGAGCACAACATCCAGTAGTTTGGTGAGTTGGAAACTCGATATATATATTACCTTGCTCTATGGAAGTAAATCTTTAAAGACTCGATGACTACTATTATCCCTAGATGAATTATAAATTCAGGAAATATTTTTGTTGACGTTGGCGGTTTCTTTTTAGTAACTCGCTCCATTTCTTGAGAAAACCTTTTACTAACATTAATATCCAAATTCCCATTAATAGTTCTGATAGATATGGAATCTGTTCCTTCCGTTTGATCATCAGTAATTATATTTGTTGGGACTCGCAATATTTTGACGCTTATTTCGACATTTCTAATATCAATTGAAGTTGGAACAACTTTTTTGGAGAAAATGCGTCTAAACTAAATGTTTTCATCAATTTCGGATTTTGTATTTGCTTTGACAACTGTATCATCAATATATTATTAAAATACACAGATATTTCTCGGAGATTTCCCGTAAATCCCTATTTTTCCTTTTTGTAATTAATATGATAATAATATAAACGCCTAAAATCAATAAAAAATTTACCAATGAATTAGCCAAGAACTGCGAAAATTTATCAACATAAGGAAACTAATTAAAATGAAATAATGACAAGTTAAATGTTAACTAAACTCTGTATATTATTAATTATTAAATTTGTTTAAAATAAAAAAATATATAACAACAATGATACCTCTAGGTTCTCTCAGATCCATTAAAAATGTTGTCCAAGATTGATTTTCATCGTCAGTTGGTCCTTTATTAGAAAATAATATGCCTTACGAGATTCAATAGACCACCAATAGTAAGTTTGTTAAAAGTTAAATTCTCATATCCATTAATTTGGTTTTCTCGTATTTGACGCCAAATTTCAGGAACATTATAATTAATATTACTTTGAATTAATTTTTTAATTTGATGTGTAGTTGTAGCGTTGACATGCCTTGATCGTGAATATAACATTTTGTGAGAATATCCTACTTTAATTAAATCTATCGGGATAAAAATCAAAAGAAAATTATTTTCTTACAATATATTATTGCAATTGTCGAATTGAACTTGGAAAACCTCAAGCCAAACATCCTATAATATAAAACAAAGAGATACACTTACCTATTTAGAACGATATTATTGTGAAGGAACAGTTCTCTTTATCATCTTTCTCTAAAATACTATTATGCAATGTTGATAATTCAATATTAAGTTCACAATTTACCTCTGCATTTTCTCCTTCATAAAGTTCGTTAGTATTGTTTAAAGAAGTTAGAGAGTTATACGGCTTCAATTTAACATAATGGTGTAACAAAAAAAAATATTTTTCAAATATAAAATTTATGATCCTTTGTAAAATAAATAAAACTTGAGATTTGGCTTAAAAAAGCTTAAAACATCACATTATTGTTCTAAACAATCTTAACTACCGAAATAAGTAACGTTTTACCCGGCAAAATCAGTCCGGCTACGGGTTACCCATCAAAAAAATGCACAAGAATCGGCAAAATACATGATCATCCTGCAAAAATCTTAATGCGGGCCGACGTAACAATTTTTGATGGGTACGCGGAGGAAGTCATTTCGCGTTGGAGAAAATTTCTATTATTTAAGTCGTTTGTGAAATAAATATCAAAAATCGATCATTTCAACTACCAACTGAATTGACAAAACTAGTTTATTAATTGCCGAAATTATATGTTGAATATTTTTAGTTAAAAATATTGTGGAGATTAAAAAAAAAACAAAAGGATTTAAGCAAGCATTTTTTTTTAGTTTGACCTATCAATATATATATTCATATAATTAGAAACCTCATTTGGCATAATTAATTGTTTAAGGAAAAAAATACATAACCTATTTAGATGAATAATCGATATTGATTATGAACAATATATAAGAAAGTCACTATTTTCTTCCCTCAAATCATTATCATTTACTTCCAAAACCTCTGATAAATTTCTGGCTTTGTTTTGTATGCAAGTTTTGCGACATATAAAACTAATCTATATACAATTCTCCTTGAAAGAATTTGTTAGGGAAAATACCCGGATACTATGACCGCGACATTTACAATTAAATTTGGAATTCCTTGTGCTGTTTAGGGTCATATTTTGAAACATACACGGTTATATCTTACCCAATTGTATTCCTTATTGGGAGGATTATGGGAAGTCCCTTAAATGGATTAACCGTTTTATTAAAATTTTTCCGAGATGCATCAACAAAATTTGTGCTACTTGACAGAGCATAAAAAACTTTAACTATGAAATTTTACAAAACATGAAAAAAAAAATATTTTTTCTTTCATGGATTAAGTGAACACAAAGTTCATGTTTGATAATTTTAGAATTTGTATAGAATAAATAGAATAAAAGATGGCATGATAAACATATAAAACTCGTCTTACCATTGGTATTTATTTAAGGTTGTGCTACATTAATGATGGTATCGTGTTATAAAATTGGTAACAATAAAAATAAATAAAATTAAATGTATTTATTATAATATTATACATTAATATTTATATATTAATAGATTGATTATTTATTTAATCTCATTAATTGACATTTAAATATGGAAATGGGCATATTTTACTTTAAAAAATTTTAAAATTCATATCAGACGAATAAGGAAAATTTGTTCTTCCGACAGTTTCCTTACTTGCGCCCTATGTTTGAAATTACTTTTTTTGCTGTCTATTTACTTACCTACGAACTTACAGGTTAAATTTCATTTATATGAATCTTTGTTTTTATAAATTAAACAAATTTTAATTTAATCTGATATCGTAAACAATGCAGTTTCTTTTTATATAAAATAAAAACTTCTTGGACATTTGTAAGTAAATAAATATTAATTATTAGTATTTAATTCAGCAATTTTAGTCAAACTTTTACTCAACAATTAAAATAAAAATTTGGCGTACAATAAATCATTACTTTCTTTGCAAATGAATCGATTTTATGTTTTCAATATTTTTTTTTATTTTTTAATTTTTTCGGGATATAATGAATTCAACTTAATTTATATAAATATCTTCGTTTTGAAAAAAAAAAAACGTTGTTCATCTATTCGTGTTATTAAAAAAATAAATTTGAATTGCATTTCTATACCTGATTTTTTATTTTCGTTAATTCATATAAATAATTTTAAAAAATCATACTTAAAATAATGAACTTAAAAAAAGGCGATGGGTCTGACCATTCAACTCCAAAAATTTCAATAGTTGTTGGCTTCGTAATTTTTCTAATGATAATTACAATGAGCTTCGGCTTTTTCATTAAACGACGAAATAAGACTCCTGCGACCGCTTTTAAGAAACGTTTTCAAAGAAACGATCCTTCCCCCATCCCCGCGATAACTTCGGAAGCAATAATTGATAGGGGAGTAGAAACTCAAGAAACAAGTCAGGAATCGCAAAGAAATTCCACATCTTCTATCATTATAGAAGTAATGACGGAAACTTTATCAAATATAATTAAAAATCAAGGAGAGTTCCCTAGTGATAATAATTCTAACGTTTCGGCTAGACCTGAATTTGTTCGAGTGAAAACTTTGAAATTTCATAAAGTGGCTGATCATTCCAAGAGTGGAAAGAGTTCGATCAAAAATATATTAAATATATTTGGAAAACGCTCTTAAACACTACTAGCAGCATTTAGAAATTTTAACATCTTTCACAACTTTTCAATTTTGTATAAAATTTTTGTAAATCCACCTACCTATCTTTTACTTATTATATATTATATATTCTACTTATATAAGTTTTTTATAATGTACATTTCTCAACTTCTTAACATAAAGGAATGAATACAATTTCGGTTAGCATCGACCAATTATTATTATAAAATTATTATTAATCGAACAATATGCACAGGAATCCGTGCTTTATTATAACCTTTTAAGTAAATATCTGATGAAAATATTAAAAATATCCTATAAAATTCGCCACATAATTCTTATATAACAATTTAATGATTTTTCCAAGATTTGTATGTAAATCAAACAGTGATAAGATCTTAAAGGTGTCACACTAAAGCAAAAAAATAAAAAAATAAAACAAATTCAAAAGTCCAAATCTCAATAAAAGAAAAATAAACATTAGTAATGTTCTAAAGCAAAAAAAAAAAAAAAATTTTCAAATTATCATTTCAATCCAAG